ATCTTGGTTTACTCCAAGACTCAAGAGCAGCACAACGAGCACCTAAGGGAGGTGTTGGAGACACTAAGGAAGGAGAGACTTTTTGCGAAGTTCTCCAAGTGTGATTTCTGGTTGTGTGAGGTGCAGTTCCTTGGGCACCTTGTCAACCACAAGGGTATTCTGGTCGATTCGGCCAAGATAGAGGCCGTGATGTAGTGGGAGATTCTGAGGTCTCCAACTGAGATTCGGAGTTTCCTAGGTCTAGTAGGGTATTACAGGAGATTTATTTAGGACTTCTCCAAGATTACAGTTCCTTTGACCCGACTAACCAAGAAGTCGGTGGTTTTTCGTTGGGGACCTGAGCAGCAGACAACCTTTGAGACGCTTAGGCAGCGGTTGTGCGAGGCACCGATTCTTACCCTGCCAGAGGGTGTAGAGGATTTCGTATTTTACTGTGATGCTTCGATAACAAGCATGGGAGCAGTAGCTTATGCCTCGAGACAGCTGAAGCCTCACGAGGCTAACTATCCGACGCACGATTTAGAGTTGGGGGATGTGGTGTTAGCCCTCAAGATTTGGCGACATTACCTCTATGGGATCCGTTGTACCATCTACACAGATCACAAGAGTTTAAGATACCTCATGGATCAGCCGAATCTGAACATGAGGCAGCGTCGGTGGTTATATGTGGTTAAGGATTACGATTGTGAGATCATTTACCACCCGGGCAAGGCCAACGTAGTGCCGACGCCCTGAGCCGCAAGGCGGTAGCGGCCCCGATCCGAGACATCTGTCTGAGGATTACAGTGATTACTCCACTATTGGAGCAGATTAGAGAGGCGCAGGTTAAGGGCCTGAAAGAGGAGCGTCAGAAGTGCGAGAGGATTGTGGGCCGGGTGGCCTCGTTTGATTATGACAGTCGAGGGTTGTTGACCCTGCATGAGAGGGTCTGGGTTCCGTACTGGGGTGGAGTACGACAGGTTCTAATGGATGAGGCCCATAAGTCGAGGTTCTCCATCCATCCCGGGGCGACGAAGATGTACAGAGATCTTCGACTCGATTACTGGTGACCCTGCATGAAGCGGGATGTAGCTTAGTACGTAGAGAGATGCCTGACCTGCAGGAAGGTCAAGGCAGAGCACCAGAGGCCTCACAGCAAGATGCAACCGTTAGACATCCCCGTGTGGAAATGGGAGGACATTACGATGGATTTTATCACTAAGCTTCCCAGGACCACACGTGGGGTTGATTCGATATGGGTCATCGTGGATCGGTTAACCAAGAACGCTCACTTTATCCCGATTCAGGAGAGCATATCGGCTGTGAAGTTGGCCGAGATTTATGTACGAGAGGTGGTGGCACGTCATGGAGTGCCTGTCTCGGTGGTGTCAGATCGAGATGTCCGTTTTACTTCCAGATTTTGGAAGCGGTTTCACGATGAGATGGGTACTTGTCTCCTTTTCAACACTATTTTCCACCCCCAGACAGACGGACAAATCGAGAGGACGATACAAACTCTCGAGGACATGCTACGCGCATGTGTGCTAGATTTCGGTGGCAGTTGGGATACGTATCTTCCGTTAGCGGAATTTTCGTATAACAACAGTTACCACGCCAGTATAGACTGGCCTCCCTTCGAGATGCTCCACGGGAGGAAGTGTAGGACCCCAATCTGTTGGGGTGAGGTCGGTCAGAGGTTCATGGGAAGTACGGAGGTAGTACTCAAGACCACCAAGCGGATCCAGCAGGTTCGGAGCAGGCTCCAGACCGCTCAGAGTCGGCAGAAGAGTTACACCGACAACTTGGAGTTTCAGGAGGGCGACATGGTTCTCCTGAAGGTGTCGCCCTGGAAGGGTGTCATACGATTCCGGAAGCGGGGCAAGCTAGGCCCCCAGGTATATCGCCCCCTTCTGAGTCATAGCCCGGGTGGGCAAGGTAGCATACAGACTGGATCTTCCCGCTGAGCTCAGCCAGATCCACAACACTTTCCATGTTTCCCAGTTACGGAAGTGCTTGGTGGATGATTCAGCAATGGTACCCCTTGAGGATATTCAGGTTGAAGACATCCTGAACTACATTGAGAGACCAGTGGCGATTCTAGATCGCAAGACGAAGAAGCTAAGGAACAAGCGGGTTAAGTTAGTGAAGGTGCAGTGGCAGCACCGTAAAGGTTCAGAGTGGACATGTGAGCCCGATGAGGAGATGAGGGAGCACTACCCAGAGTTGTTTTCCGACGCAGCAGACCTCGAGGACGAAGTCTAAAACAAGTGGGGGAGAATTGTAACGCCCCGTTCCTGGTACGCATTTAAACTATTAAAATTTTCATTTTGTAAGAGCTACTCGACGAGTTGGTAGCCCTAACTCGTCGAGTAGATGCCAGATTGGACGCGGGGTTTAAGTGGTCTACTCGACGAGTCGAAGCCTTGACTCGACGAGTAGGTCCATCAGGAGGAAACCCTAATCTTTAGGGTTTTCACCCTATTTAAACATCATATCTGGCCTCCACCCCAGCCTCTATCACCTCCAAACCCTAATCTCGAAACCCTAATCTACCTTGAGTGATTTTGAGCTAGTTCTTGCCATTTTGAGTGTTATTGTGCCTTTTGAAGCTTGTGGAAGAAGAAGAAGATAGAAGGCTCAGAGGGGAAGAAGTAGATCCAGGAGCTACACTCTATTTACTGCAATTTTAGGTAATCAAGTCCCTAACTTGATCCTTCTTCTCTTAGATCTATTTGTTTCCATTTTATGAAGGATTTGGTTTAAGAACCTTATCCCTTGGGATTGGGACGTCCCAAGTGATGTACATCTTAGATCTAGGGTCTAGGAAAGGTTCCATGGCATAAAGGTGCAAACTTTATGACCATGGAGACCCCATGCAAGTTTATATGCAAGAACATGGCCTTTTAGACCTAAAAGACCATGCATGGGAGGAAAGCTCGGGACTTTACGTATCCCACAGATGATAAGAGCCTAGATCTAGTATATTGTACTTTGGTTTATGGTATTATGGCTTGTGGACCAAGTTTTATGTCTTAAAGAAGTTAGGGTTTGGGTTAAACCCATTAGGAAGGACTAAGGACGGGTAAAGTTGGAAACTTTACCCTTAAGAGTGCATTTCCAGTATGTAGATGAAGTTTGGAACACAGATCTGAATGGTAGGAGCTTAATCCATTGAGATGGCTCAAACAGACAGGGGAACTCGCCGAGTCCGGGGAAGGACTCGACGAGTTGAAGCGGGTTGTCCCGATTATTACAACAACAAGAACTCGGCGAGTCTGTTAAGGGACTCGACGAGTTGACGACCACGAGTTTAAGCATTTAGGGACTCGTCAGGTTGGGAGATAACTCGACGAGTTGGGTTGATTGGGGGTTGACCTTAACTTTGACCAGGGGTAAAATGGTCATTTTACCCTAAGAGAGGATTAGCAGATTCTGATTAAGTGTTATTATGGAATTGATAGCCGGAGGGTCTCCGGAGTAGCGAACAAGGATTCCTCACTCGAGTTTTCAGCACTCAGTCTTACGAGGTGAGTTTCCTTCAGTAGGAACGGGTCTACGGCACCAAGGTCGGCCCGTATATGTGATATGTTAGTAGCTGAGTGTGGGCGGGGCCCGATTCTCATAGTAGCCTAGAGTGGGCGGGGCCCGATTCTCATAGTATGTATAGATATGTGATTGTTTGGTAGATATACTTGTTGTCTGTGTGATACTTGTATGCATGTTAGACAGCGGAGTGTGGGCGGGGCCCAAATCTCCTAGACAAAGGGGTGTGGGCGAGGCCCGAATCTCCTAGACAGCGGGGTGTGGGCGGGGCCCGAATCTCCTAGCTAGCGGAGTGTGGGCGGGGCCCGAATCTCCATGAGAGTGGGTGGGGCCTGTATCTCCTAGTTGCATGTTATGTGTGTATGGTATGTGGTAGTTTGGGGAGACTTACTGAGCTTCGTGCTTACAGTTTTCAGTTTTGGTTTCAGGTACTTCCACTAGCAAGGGGAAGGGCTCGGGATGATTGCATGGCACACACCACAGTTTCAGCCTGGGATTGTTTAGACTCTGATATTTTCTCATATGATTATGACACGATGTTTGAGATACATGATTCTTGATTTTTCTCTTTATGGTGATGGATAATTTATGGTTTTTTAAAAAGAAAATTTTGGTCTGTCTTTTTGGGATGTTTCAATTTCATAACATTAGAACAAACAAAATTTTTGATTTCATAGCTTATAAACAAAAAAGATTTCTGATTTCATAGCTTATAAACAAAACAAACCAAAAAAAATCTGATTTATTATTTCATAGGTTATACACAAACAAGATTTCGGATTTCATAGCTTATTAGCTTATACACAACCAATTTCAGATTTCATAACATTTGAGCAAAGAATGGTTCTGATTTCATAGCATTTAAACAAATAATTTCAGATTTCATAACATTAGAGCAAGACGAATTTCTGATTTCATAACCAATTTTAGATTTTATAACATTAGACCAAGAACAATTTTTGATCTTGTAACCAATTTCATATTTCTGATTTCATAAATCCTACACAGAAGGAGAATGAAGACGGATTTCTGATTTCACAGAAAAAACGAAGGATTTTGCTTACATGTCATGACGTCTTTCTGGCCGGAGGTCGGACTGAGGGAGGGCGGAGGTCCGACTAAAGGAAGACGGCGATGATGGAGAGTTGTCAATGGAGGCGGCCAAGTTTTCTTGTTGGGTATCACTTTTAGGTCACGATGGGAAGAAAGAAGGGAGAGGGTAGGACCGTCATTTTTTCCAGTCAGTCTTATTTCGAATTTGACCGAAAAAGTGAGATGGGTCAGACATTCTGATGGAGAAAGCTTCTATAAAACGCATGGTGGCTGACCGAGTCAGCCAAAATCGCTGACTGGAGTCACACGGGTATCAAATGGCACCTAAGTCTTTTTATTAAATAATTTTACAAAAGTATTGATAATAAATATTAATTTGGTCATTTTAATGAAGAGACCCATGAGTTAAATATACAACCGACAAATTAGACTCATAATTGAATTGAAGTTCAAACCGCATCGCAGGTTGCATTTGCAGCCGCAGATCACTTCGCCCGCCCAAACTCCTCTTTCTTCTGCCCCAAACTAATTTGAAATCCACTTAAATCTCTCTGCAATCTAATCTTCGATCTACTCAATTCAGATGGCTGCCAACGTTGATTCTTCTCCGTCTCCTCTTTCTTCGGTGTGTAATCGTTACTCTGTGTTTGTTTTGCTTCAGCTCTATAGACCATCTTTGATGCTTTGCTTGTTAATCGATTTCAATGAATCTTTGTTTTTTGCAGAAGAAAGAGAACTTGACACCAGTTAATTCAAAGATTTCGGTACGTTCTACTATACTTTTTCATCGCGTTGTCCAATATTTGTTACGAGTAACAAACCCTAATTTATGTTCCTGCTTTCAGGAATTGAGAGAATCGCGAGCAGAACTGTTAGATAGAATTCAAAATTTGAAGAATGTAAAGCTTTGATTTATTATTGATTGATGATTTATCCCCTTTTTCGTTCAAGGTAGTAACTACGTAGTTCTGTGTTGTTTTTAACGCGTAGGATCTTCAAAGTTGGAGATCAAAATTAGATACTCAAGTTAAAAGCTACCGTGATGTAAGTATCTCTTGTATCAAAAAAAAAAATTGAAGTGTTCGCTGCAAATCTTATAATTCACTGAATCGTTTACCTTTTTGAACATAATTCTTTAACTTTTATGTCATTTTTGTGAAAATGCCAAAGAAAACACTACAAGAATTGCATTTTTGTAAAAGGTTAATTGATATAAAGTGAATGAAGCCTGTGTTGCAATTTGGAATTGTTTATACAGGAGCTTTCAGATCTGAAGAAAACTTTGAATGTGGAAGTGGATCAGCTTCGATCTGTAAGGACTTTTTCAATGCCTTTCATTTTAATTATTATGCAAATATTTATATGATGATTTATGCTACTAATTTATATCATGGTTTTATGGGATCTAGGAATTTCAAGAACTAAGAACAACTCTTCAACAGCAACAAGAAGATGTTACTGTTAGTTTAAAGAACTTGGGTGTAAGTTATTTTTTTTCCATTAAAGTGATATCTGGATAAATAATACTTAAAACGTATATTTATTTATATGTTCAAAAGAAACACTCATCATAAAAAGCTTATTTGTGTACAGTTGCAGGATGTTTCAGGAGATGTTAAAGATACTGAAGGTTCAAAGGTGGAAGGAGAGAACATATGAAACGAAGTTTGAATTAAGAGGTCATGTCATGTCCTTAATCGTCTTTTTACCCAATCATATTCATGTGTCAATTTTGTATTGCCTAAAGAACATGGTATTATCATCATCATCATCTATTCATGATTAATCCAAACATCTACCAATTTATTAATGGATCTTGCAATGAATAGTGATTAGTTATTACTTCTATTTGGAGGAGTTTATTATTACTATTTTGTTTATTTATTATTTACAAGAATGCATTTTGTTCACAAGCTCGAGACCAATTGGTATTTTAGAAAGGAGAAATCAAATAACGTCCTATTTTTTCTTCTTACACACTTAAGATCGTGACACTTGCATATTTATGTTGTTTAATATAAGTAGCCTTACTAATTACTACAATGTTCATTAACTTTTATAACACATAACATAAAGTGTAAGTTTTTTTATAAATGATAAATTCTATGAAATTAACCAGGTTTCACAAAAATTCGATTGACATTGAATATTTTTTTGTTTCAAATTGGATATTTTTTTTGCTAATTTGTTATAATTCTGACTATTAGACCGGTCAACCAGGTTGCCAGCAAGTGTGCCATGCCGACGTGTTAGTTTTGATGATGTGGTATGTGACATCGAAATATGTAAAAATTGAAAAAAAAATCTAAAATATAATGATTTTTCTGAAGTTTTTAAAATATAGTGACTTTTGGGATATTTATAAAAAATATAGTGATTTTTGTGAAGTTTTCATGTATGGTCATATTTATAAACTAATTATGTTCCCATTAATTCTGTTTTATTTAACATCTTAAAAAAAACAATAAATAGTATAATCGAATGCATGTTAGAGTAAATATTTGATTGTTAATATAAACATTTTAAAATTTCAACTAATAATATGTATAAATAATTTTTAATGACTAAATTAAAAGATTTGAATAGTTGATTGATCGTCAATAACATTATCCTACTTGTAAATGATAATATTTTTTTAACTTTAACGACAATGCATTATGATGTATATAGTTGAAGGCAACATTTTCTTACTCTACCAATGTTAAATCTACAATGATTAGTAATCAAGAAAACACATGAGATTAGACCTGACAATTGAGTTGGGTTCAGATTGGCGGGTCACGGATTGACGGATCAGAAAACATAAACTCAACTAAACTCATATAATATATGGGTTGGCGGGTCACGGGCTGGTGGGTTGGAAACCTCAACCCAACCCAACTCATATAACCCTTTTAAGTATATATGGGTTTGCGGGTTTACAAGTTTGTGGGTCAAACCCAACCCATATAACCCGTTTAATAAATAAGCGACATACTTTCAAAAAATGGTTTTTTTTTAACATAAAGTCATAAAGTGATTAAACTAATTAACATAAAAAATTGTTTTCAACATAAATGCATAAAGTCATTAACATCCAAATAAAATAGAAAAATGAAAACATTTATATTAAGTGGATGCGTTCTTCGTTCATGACTCATGAGTATCTAAAAATGACGACATGTGTTTTTTCTTTTTTCATTAGGGCACCGCAAACACAAACTAGACACATACGCATACGGAAGGAATACAATGATACGAAACATTACGAATACGGAAGGAAATTAGATTTCATTAATAATTAAATATATCTAATTTTTTAAAATGTAGTGTGTGTGTGTGTGTGTGTATATATATATATATATATATATATAATAAATAGATAGATATATATATTATATATAATATATAGATATATTATATATATATATATAGAGAGAGAGAGAGAGAGAGAGAGAGAGGAGGATCGAGTGATGACTTTTTTTAAAGTGAGGACACCTTAAAAAAATTGAAAAAAAATACAAATAATAAAATCGAGCATAATACTACATCAGAAAAAAAAATTGAATCATTAAAATTGAAACATAAATCACTTTTAAGATCAATGATTCAACTTTTATGATCTATGATTCAATTTTAATGATGCAAAAAAAAATTTCCAATTTTTTTTTCTCTCGGATATAGTTCTATGCTCGATTTTATTATTTGTATTTTTTTTAGATTTTGTTTCAATTTTTTTAAGGTGTCCTCATTAGTTCTCACTTTAAAAAGAGTCATCATCGGAACCGGACCCTATATATATATATATATATATATATATATTATATATATATATATATATATATATATACGGGTTGACCCGCGAACCCAAACAGGTAACCCAACCCAACCTACAAAATAAATGGGTTAGTGGGTTGGGGAGTTGACGGGTTGGCGTGTCAAAAATCTCAACCCAGACTCGTTTATTTTCGGGTTGGGTCAGTGTCGGGTTACGGGTTGGGTCGATAGTTGCTACCCCTACATGAGATCTTACGTTGAATTCATATAGTTAAAAAAAATCATTATTTTTTTATTAAATTATTTTAATATAAGAAATAGACTTTAAAATAAATATTTAAAGTTCTACTCTGTCATTTAAAGATCTTGAAGATTTCAGAAGAGCCTTTGAAAATGAATTTATCTTTTTAGGTTTCAAGTTCACATTTGATGCAATCTCCAGAATATAACTATCCACAAGCTTTGAAACATTCTTTAACGATTTTAAATCACTACCCATTTCTTCAAAAGTTATAAAAAAATCTTCAAAGTTATAAAGAATCGATCATTATTTCAAAAGAGTGTATTATATAATATATCAAAATCAATATTGATAACGTGCCTTCTAGCCACACTAGAAAAACTAAAGATACTAAGGATCAACCTCTCTAGGTGACAGCATGTCGGCCCTCCTGTCGTGTCATGGTTCAGTGGCCAACCTGAAAACATGCGCATGCAAGTAGTCATGTGACAAAGGAGCACCTGCGAACTTTGCTAATGGTGCACACACCGTTATCATTGCTAAGCCAATTTGTGGCTTAGGCAGAAGATAAATGTACGATATACCAATTAGTGCCATTGTCCCGATCCGGGCCTAACACCCATGTCTACCAGAGCGGGATCTGTGCCAAGAGCCTCACTATAAAACGACACATGCCTCTGATGATAAAGGGATTGAGCTCTGACTCTCCCCACTTTATACTCACTCACATATTCATCTCTCTCGAAGACTAACTTGATCGTCAAAGCGTTCTCCCATGACACCCTCCCGGAGCACGGCTGTCGACATGTTTCCTTTCTTGTGATACAGATCTTTATCAAGGCTGAAGCAGACCACCGACAATACATACTACGAAGATCCACTTCACATCAAGTATAAATAAGGATAAAAATTTATTAAACATAAATAGTTTTTAAACTAAATATTTATTGATTTTTTAAAGTTTTTAAACAAAAACAGTTTAGTTAAAACAAAATTAATTTAACATGACTATCCATGAAAACTTTGCAACAATCACTATATTTTGAATAAATATCACAAAAGTCACTATATATTTTGGATATTTCATAAATGTTACTGTATTTGGGATAATTATCACAAAGTCACAACATTTTAGACTTTTTTTTTCACACCTAAAAATACGATGTCACCAAATAGTTTACTAACACGCCATCATGTCATGTCAGCATATTACATCAGTTGACAGCCTAGTTAATCGGTTTTAATTATCAGAATTATAACAAATTTGTAAAATAATGCGTAATTTGAGACAAAAAAAATATCAAAATCGAGTTGTAAAAATTTAATGACTTTTGAGAAATTTATCAATGTTATAAACTATTGTCAACTTCAACTCTTAGTCATATATGGGTAAAGTTTGACCAAATAAACCATGTTAATGATTTTATATTTATTTTTTCAACCAACAATTTCTATAATATTTTATCAAATTTAACACAAAAATAGCTTGGTAGAATATTTAAAACAAATAGGTAAATAATTGGTGCCATATAACATTACGCCCAAACCTTTTGACTTAGCTCATTAAGTAATTCTGCCATGTTATGTAAAACGGAAATAATCATGTATAATTAAATTGTCAAGTGTATGTTTAACCAATAAAACTCATCAAGTCAAAAAAAAAAAAAAAATTGGAACCTGCAAATTTTATTAAAAGGCAACCCCCTAACAAGGAGCTAAAGGGTGCCAAAAGTTACTCATTAAGTCAAAAATTAAGTCATTGATTATCAACTTAATTAAGTAGAGATGAAATTACTGGTAGAAAGGAAATCAAGATATTACAAAGTTCGACAAAAAAAAAAAAGACAAGTAATATGGTTGAAAACATGATTCACTTGGCTTTCAATTAATTTCAGAATTATTTCTCACATGTGAATCAAACCACGGATAATTAGATTTAAAGCACTTGTGCTTCATATTTCTCTTTTAACAAACAATATGTAAATTGCTACTTTTATGATATCTAGTTGCAACTTCAAAATGAATCCCAACTTGTTCTACATGCAAAGGGGAAACATAACACATATGCAGATATGCTCAATAAAAGTAACCCAAAACTTGACCCCCAACATTCTGTCGAATTGCTTCTTCATGATCCAATACACCATTTGGCGTCGTGATCACCACATACCCCCACTGCATCAAAAACAATTTCATGATGAAGAAGAAGTTTAAAAATGGAATCTGGATTCACTTCAAGAGTTATAAATGACATAAGAAGAAATTATGAACAGCAAACCTGCTGCGTTGGAAGTGTTCGTAGTCTGTAATTCTCTATCTCATGAGCTTTGATGTCTTGTCTGTATGTAATTGCTCGACAATCTTTAATCCTACCCAGCAGTTCAACCTTTATTTTTCCTACTCTATGAGGATCATACACTTCGAAATTCTTGACATACCCTGTAATTAAAAGCAGTGAAATATGTGTATAAAGAAACTGATTACAAATAGATAAAGAATCATGTTTATGAACCTATTTGATGACATGAAATAACTGCGAGATTGAGTTAAGTTAGCTTATGTTTCACAACGAGCAGTGTTCGATCTACATACTGATTTTCTCTTTTGAGACAAATAGTCAGAATTAAGAAATGAGAAGATCACTTAAGAAGAAGAAGAAGAATATAATCGAAACTAGTCCTATCATATTTATGGTGAAACTGATACGAATTGAAAATGCATATACGAACTGACTCAGAGAAGAATCTGAAAGCCTAATAGCAAGTCAATCGTAATCCAGTTCACCATGAACATGAACATAAACACTGGATTACATGGTTGAAATTCTGATTCGACATCCAACAACTCACACTCGATTTGAAATGACAAGATGTATGAGAAGATGAGGAAGTGTACCTCGTTGTTTCATGATGGTGAGAAAAGAAGAGATGACATTGGAGATGGGTTGAAGCTGAGCGGATGCAAAACCTCTCTTCTCGGCATTAACCATCGTCCTCAAAGCGTCGTTCAGTATCCTCCTCCCCATTTCGATTTCGTCAAGCTCCGTCTGCTCGGCCGATGCAGTGACTGCTGAACCCTAGGAAAAAAACCCGCTCCAAAGATATGGACATTGGGCCTTATTTCGGCACCCGACTAGTTTCTTCTCTAATTTTTTGAGGTGGTTTTGGAATTTTAATTTTTTTGCAGTGGGCCACAAAAGCTTGGCCCAATGAAAAATGGCTTTTAGTTTTACGCCTATATATAGTAAGTTACTAAAAGGTTCTCTGTATTGGATGAATCGAAATGTAGTTTTCGATTGAATTGTCATCCAATAAAGAAGTATAATTACGCAAAGAAGAAAGTGATGCGGGTGTATGGTTTCATTTTAGTTGTCATCCAACCAATAAATGTTATTTTATCAAGGAAAAGAGCCATGAGGTGTTGTCGGCTAATGTGAAAGGTCACGAAGGTGTTGCGGGGAACAGAAAATGGTATGTAAGTCTGTGTTCGATAGCAACTTCGGTGAAAATGTGTTAAAGATTACTTTGTATTTTTTACGCAAGTTGCTATCGTCCAAGAAATAACTACAATTTCATGGATCTTACATCCCGAATCTTAAGCAAACCATTGTGATATGTAATTATTTCGATAAAAAAATGTTTTTACATGTTACATACGCGAACTTAACAAAACATTGAAACGTGTCATGATATTGGATATTATGGTCGTAAAAGTATCATCAAAATCATATAACAAAAATACCCAATAAAAAGTCTTACTAAATCCTGAGAAAACCAAAATGACTAATCGATCTTCTTACGAGATCCTCGGTAAACCGTTGTCAGTCGATCGATCATGAAACACTTCACTGCCATTGTCATGTTGGGGATTCTTGATTGGAACAATTTAATTATCAAAAGCAGCATAAACAAAAAAAATTAGAATTTAATTTATAATCTCCAGGAACCATGGATCCAATTAGAACAAACTAATCTCAATGAGAATGTTGACATTTGATGTTAAAAGACTAGTTACCAAAATTGATTATTTCTACGGTTCATCCATACAAACACATGAATAAGTGCCTACTAGATTACCAACAAGATCAACAACAAACTTCTTTTTTTTTCTTTAAAATGAGAGGGAGAGTGGGGTGTAGGTGTGTGGCACCTTCTAAAATGTAACAAAGATATATTATGTTTTTTAGTTTCCTTTTACTAAAACCCTATTGTTTATATATATATATAATATATATATATATATTATATATATTATATATATATATATATATATATATATATATATAGATATATATATATATATATATATATATATGATCGGGCAAGGACTCGAAAGTTGGTGAAGACTGCAAAGACAATTTTTAGCCTTTGATTACTAAAAATGATTGTTTGTAATTAATTGAAATTTTCTCTTTTTTTTTTAATACAAAACACAGTGGCATTTTTTATAATAACCGGAAGTTTTCATGTTTTTTCTTTATAAGGATAAATATCTTAGGGGTAAATTGGTCACTGTAAAAATTAAAAAATGTCTTTGCGAATCAATTGAGTGTTCTTCTCTTTCACTTCTTATGTTATGTTCAGAAGATGAAACCCTCTCCAATTGTTTTGTGATTTAAGCTTATCAATCTGTCTCTTTCGTTTCTTCTTCTTTATGCTTCAAATTCGATCTAAAACATTGTTTAATGGAATCAGGTAAATCTTAGTTTAGTGTTTTTGGTTGATTATTTGCTTTATTCCTTGTAATTGTTGGAGATTCAAGAAAGAAATTTTCATAATCTGTATTTATTTTCATGTTTTAGCTTGGAATTTTGGTTTTTTTTTTTTTTTTTTTTTTGTTAAACCCTAGTTTAGTATTTATTGTAGATCATTTGCTTTGTCTCTTATGTTTTATGGTTTGTTGTGTACAATTTATCAAACTCATATATATAAGATAATATATATATATATATATAATAGTTTAACTATTCAATATATAAGCTGAATACTAAGATCAATTCTTTTAAGTTCCTGAGTTTTGAAAGATTTATGGAAAAAGAACTTAGATAAAAACATCAAAGTTAAGCTTAATACAATGATGCCCACAAGGTGTTCGATCTAATGTCTCAAAAAAAAACATCCTGAAAAAATTAAATACGTTAAATATATATAGATATATATATATATATATATATATATATATAGAATATATAATATATATATATATATATATAGATATATATATATATATATATATAATATCAACAATATTATTGTTAAAATCAGCATATAGTTTGTATCATAACTTTATGTATGATACAAATATATGATTTTAGGTTTAATGTGTTGGGTTAATCGGATTTATAAGTGCAAGGGCATTTTGGAAAGTTTTTTATTTTAATTGTTTTCTTCTTGTTTTTGTGTTAGAGTCAAATTCATTGTGTTTTAGTATAAATATGCTACTTGCGTTTTTTACTTAAGGTGTATTCACAATTTGTTTTTGATTAAATTAGAGAAGTCTTTGGCATTAAGACCTGCACTTCTAAACCTACACTTGGTATCAGAGCTTAGGCTGGTGAAGACCTAGGGCGGTCGATTTGAGAGTCGCTTTCAAGAAAAGTGTAGCCTTTCACGCAGCGGGAATCGTGTTATGTTGAAGGGGGTATGATTTGGTTTTGATCGCAAGAAGCCCCGATTTCTCTTGATCGGGATTGTTCTAAGGGAATGAGAGACTAACCGGAGGAGACAAATAAACGGACGGGAAGACATCAAAGCGGGTGGCTTTGATTCAGTTCGTTTTTGCGGGTGATAGAAGACGGTAAAGGTGGCCGTGACCTTGTCTTATTGTTCGGTGGAAGAGTGCTCTCGGAACAAGCTTGATTAAAGATTTTGGGGTTGTCAAAAGAGAGAATAGGATGTCGATAGTCAAAGAAGCAGGTTCGATGTATCAAGTTCCGATTTTGACTCCAATGAATTATCCGGTGTGGGTAATCAAAGTCAAAGCGATTATGGTTGCACACGACATATGGGAGACGGTGAACCGAGAGTGTTCGGTGGAAGAATCTCTCAGATTAGGAGAGATAGGCAAATATATGGCTGTCAAGACAAGAATGGAATGGACAAGCAACACGGTGTGAAAATTATGATGCTGGAGTTCAAATCGGATGGCTTTGGATGTGGCCGAAGAGGTCATTGATCCAGGACAAGTCGAGATGGTAATGAACATGTCCAACGGGATGCCATGGTATATGTCACATGTGTTGTTAACAATCAAATGGTTTGAGAGAAGACTTTGGATATGACCGAGGTGAAGGTCGGGTGTCCTGAAAAGTCGAGACTCGAGATAGTTCGAAAAAAGATGATTAAAGGTTGTTGTGAATGAGTGGTATGACCAATCCAATTAAGGGGGTGATTATTGAAGAACTTCGCATACAGTCTCTCGCTCCTCGGAGTCTCTAATACCCCCTCAAGTGCTCGTCATGCAACTCCTGGGTCTTCGAATAGAACAGGATGTCATTAATGAATACAATCACAGACCGATCCAACATCGGCATGCATACGCGGTTCATGAGGACCATGAACACGACTGGAGCATTGGTGAGCCCAAAGGGCATCACCGGGAACTCGTAGTGACCATAAAGAGTCCGAAAGGCCGTCTTCTACACATCCTCCTCTCTGACCCTCATCTGATGATAACCCGAACATAGGTCGATCTTGGAAAACGAAGATGCACCTGAAGCTGGTCAAACAAATCATCAATCCTATGGAGTGGATAACGGTTCTTCACTGTTAGCTTATTCAGCTCCTGGTAGTCAATACACATCCGATGTGACCCATCCTTCTTCTTCATAAACAGGATCCGCGCTCCCCAAGGCGAACTACTCGGTTGAATGAACCCCTTGTCTAACAGCTCTTGCAGTTGTGCAGACAACTCCTGCATCTCTGGAGGAGCTAACTGATACAGTGCTTTGGCTATAGAAGTCGCACCCGGAACCAAGTCAATCCTAAAGTCAACCTGCCTCTCCGGAGGCACTCCAGGCAAGTCCTCCGGAAATACATCCGGGTATTCCGGAACATCATCCACAGTCTCCTTACCCTTCCTTCGGGTATCCTTAACATAGGAAACAAATCCGGAACAACCGTGTTGAAGATAGCGTCTGGTTGTAGCTGCTGAACATAGAATCGGCCCATGCTGAGCACTCTCCCCCTGAACCACTAACTCTCCCCCACTCGGGGTTTGAATATGCATCATATGATGCTCGCAATAAATCAATGCCCCATTCTGGCTCAACTAGTCCATCCCTACAATAACCTTATTCCCGCGCAAAGGAATAGGAACCAAATCAATCGGATACTGCTCGATGAACCTCTGCAGAACACAACCCCGATGAACCCTTGATATCCGGACAGATCGATCATCCGTAATCTCATCCTCTAATGGAAAATATAGCTCCCTTGGATCACCTACAAACCTCTTGTTGAGCGCAAGAGATACAAAAGATCGGGTAACCCCCGAATCAAACAATATGAAGTCAGAGATACCATTCATGAGGAACGATCCCGTCACCACATTAGGTGTCAGCAGAAAAGCCATGCTCCTCACAATAGGCGCATCTGCATTGCCCTGGCGGCCATCAGTAATCTGTAGAGTAGATGGAGCGAGTGCTACCACTGGTCCCGCTGTTGCCAAACTCGGGCAATTGGCCTTCTTATGGCCCCTCTGATTGCAATGGAAGAAAATCAAGTCAGATTTCTGGGTGGTGGTGGTAGTAACAGTGCAATCCCTGCTAATATGACCCGTCCTTCCGCACTTGAAGCAGCCAACACCACCCACCATGCACCCCCCATTGTGTGCCTTGCCAAAATTGTCGCAGCGGCCCCGGCCCTACTGGCCTATCGATCTCGAGTCAAAAACCTTGGGCCTCTTGCCCGAACCCTCTGAACCCTGAAACTGATCCGATTTCCTCTTCTTCTTCATCTCCAAGTCAATATCTCCCTCTCTGGCCCTCGCTATCATATCATCCAGTGTCTTGCAACTGGATCAGGTCACAAACTGTTGGATATCACTCCACAACATCTCATGGTACCTTTCCTTCTTCATATCCTCATCCAACACATATTGCGGAACCGTCAACGCCCTCTCGCGA